GATGTCACAGCAGAGCCAATGGAAATTAAAAGGATAATAACAAAATACTCTGGTAGCGAAGTGGTTGCAAATCACGCTGCGAACCTTAAGGTCAGCGGTTCGAAACTACCAGCCGCTCCGCTGGAGAAAGATGAGGCTTTCTACTCCCATAAAGATTTACACCCTCGGAAACCCTGTACAGGGTCTCTATGGGTCGGAACCGACTCGACGGCACTTAACAACAACAACAACAACAACAATGATGAATTGTACTACAACAAATTTGAAAACCTAGAAGAAATGGACAAATTTCTAGAAACACATGACCTATTTAAACTAACACAAACTGGAGTAGAAAACTTGAACAGGCCTATAACAAGAGATGTAATTGACAGAGTAACTAAAAACGCCCAATTAAAAAGAGTCCCGTCCCAAATGACTTCACTGGTGAATTCTACCAAACATCCAGAGAAGAGCGGACACTAATTCAACTCAAACAATTCTATAATATAGAAAAGGATGGAAAACTCACAAATTTATTTTATGCAGGAAGGATACTCTGATACCAAAACCAGGCAAAGATATCACTAAAAAACAAAATTGTAGACCAATATTCCTTATGAATATAGAGCTAAACATCCTCAACAAAATCCTAGCAAAAAAAAAAAACAAACAAAACCACTCACTCTTGATAAATAAAAACACTCAACAAAATAGGGATAGCAGGGAAATTCTTCAACATAATTTAGGGCATATATACAAAACCAACAACCAACATCACTCTCAATGGTGAGAAACTGACGTCATTCCCCTTATGAACAGGAACCAGACAAGGATGCCCTCTATCACCACTCCTAAATTAATATTGTTCGTGGAAGTCTTAGCCAGAGATAGAAATACCATGTGACCCAGCAATCCCTCTCCTTGGTATAGATCCTCAAGAAATAAGAGCCATGACAGGAATGGATACATGCCCACCCATGTTCACTAAAGCACTATTCACAATAGCAAAACGATGGAGACAGCCTAAATACACATCTACAGAAGAATCGATAAACTTTGGCACCTACACACAATGGAATCTGATGCAACATTAAAGAATAAATCTATAAAACACATCACAATATTGATGAACCGGGAAGACGTTATGCTGAGTGAAATTACATGAAAGGACAAACATTGATGAGATCATTGTAAAAAATTAAGAAAATATTTTCTTGCTAAATGCACATTGTATGATGGTTACAAGGTGAGTAGAGGGAGAGCTGTGGTAGAGGTAAATACTGTTAATTGATAGCACATGGAATGAATTGCAATCATCATAATGACATGAAGTGTATATTTGTTGAATGTGGGATTGATGATCTGTTCTGTAAACCTTCACTCAATTCACAATAAAAAGTAAAAAATATATATATATATGAATAGAGCCTATGGATTAGAACAGCTGACCTTGCAGTTCACAGCCCATTGCTACCAGGTCTCCATAATATAATAAAGGTTGTTGTTGTTGTTGTTAAGTGCCATCGAGTTGGTTCCAACTCATAGCAACCCTGTACAGAATTTCGCTGGTGGATTTGAACCACTGACCTTGCAGTTCAAACTTACCTTGCAGTCCAGTGCATTATCCTGCAAACCATGCCAGGACTAATAAAGGTAGTTGTTGCTGTTAGATGCCATCGAGTTGGTACTGACGCATAGTGACCCTATGCAGAACAGAATGAAACACTGCCCGATTCTGGTCCAACCTTACAGTTGTTGCCACCCTTGAGACCATTGATGCTGCCACTTTGCCAATCTATCTCGCTGGGGTCTTCCTCTTTTCTCTGACCCTCCACCCTACCAAATATGATATCCTTCTCCAGAAACTGGTCCCACCTGACAATATGTCCAAAGTATGAAAGATGAAGTTTGGCCAACCTGGCGTCCAAGGAGCACTCTGTGCACTTCTTCCAACACAGATCTGTTTGTTCTTTTGGCAACTCATGGCACTTTCAATATTCTCCTCCAACACCATAACTCAAAAGCATCAATTCTTCTATGGTCGGTCTTCCTTATTCACTGTCTAACTTTCGCATGCATATAAGGTTATTGAAAATACCATGGCTTGGGTCAGGCACACCTTAGTCCTCAAGCTGACATCTTTGCTCTTCAACACTTTAAAAAGGTCTTGTGCAGCAGATTTGCCTAATGCAATACATCATTTGATTTCTTGACTTCTGCTTCCATGAGTATTGATAATTGATCCAAGAAGAATGAAGTCCTTGGCAGCATTAATCTTTCCTCTGTTGATAAGGTAGATATTAATAAAAAGCATACACATAAAACCTTTGGGAAAGAAAAAAGAGGAGCCAGAAAATCTTTTAGCTTGCTGGATGTCTGAGACCAGTTGACTTAATAAAATTTGGTTGGCAAAAATTTCCACTCTCTTCCCCCCACAGTGCCATTACCCTCAATTTAAAATATGGTAATTATTTGTTTGTGTTAATACTTTCCAGTTTTAATTATGTTGTTATTGTATTCCATCAATTCCTGGTTCCTTGCTCTTTGCCAATTCCTTCAATGCACCTTGGACTTCTCCTTCAGTATCATTGGCTCATATGCTACCTCTTGAACCAATTTTTTTGGTACAGTGATGTTGTGTATTCCTTCCGTCTTCTTTTGATGCCTTCTGCATCATTCAATTATTTGCCCAGAGACTCCTTCAATAACAAAAGTCGAGGCTTGAATTTTTTCTTCAGTTCTCCAGCTTGTGAAATGCTGAGCATATTCTTCCTTTGTGGTTTTCTGACTCCAGATCTTTACACATACTGTTGTAATATTTGACTTTGTCTTCTTGAGCTGACCTTTGAAGTTTTCTGTTCAGCTCTTATACCTCCTCATTTCTTCCATGTGCTTTAGCATCTCTACATTGGAGAGTAAGTTTCAGTGTCTCTTCTGATATCCATTTTTATTTTTTCCTTCTTTCTTGACTTCTTAATGATTTTTTTTGCTTTCTTCTTGTATGATGTTCTTGATGTTATCCCACAACTCTTCTGGTCTTCAGTCTTTAGTGTTTAGTCTGTTCTTCAGCTGATCTATAAATTCAGGTGGAATATATTCAAGGTCATATTTTGGCTCTTGTGGACTTGTTTTCATTTTCTTCAGCTTCAGTTTGAATTTGCATATTAGCAATTGATGGTCTGTTCCACAATCTGTCTTGGCCTTGTTTTGACTGATGATATAGAGCTTTTCCATCTTCTCTTTCTGCAGATGTAATCAATTTGATTTCTGTGTATTCTATCTGGTGAGGCCCTGTGTATAATCATCTCTTATGCTGTCTAAAGAAGTATTTCAAATGAAGAAATCATTTTTTTTTTTTTGTAGAATTCAATCATGCGATCTCCAGCTTGATTTCTATGACCAAGGCCATATTTTCCAACTCCTTGTTCCCAACCTTTACTTTCCAATCACCAGTGATGATCAATACATCTTGATTGCATGTTTGATCAATTTCAGGTTGAAGAATTCCTAGAATTCTTCTATTTCATCCTCACTGGCTTTAGTGGTTGGTGCATGAATTTGAATAATAATGGCATTAACTGGTCTTCCGTGTAGGTGCATGAATATTATCCTATCACAGACAGCATTGTACCTCATGACTGATCTGGATATGTTCTTTTTGACAATGAATTCAATGCCATTCCTCTTCAATTTGTCATATCCGGTATAGTAAACTGTGTGGTTGCAGATTCAAAATGGCCAATACCAGTTCATTTCAGCTCACAAATGCCACTAAGATACTTGAATTCAGGGATTGTCTATTTCACTTTGTATTCCCTATACAGAGTTCAATACTCGATGAAGAGTGGGCTCTCAATAATTGTTTGTTGAAGGATAGATGATTGATGAAATAAATAATCGACTTGGTTGAATATTAGAGTGTCTAGGTCATTTGTAGACTTCCCGTATGGCACTGTGGATTAATGCACTAGACTGCGAGGTCCATTTGAACTGCAAGATTGGCCTTTCAAACTCACCAGCTGCTCCTTGGAAACCCTTTATAGGGTTGCTATGATTTGGAATTGACTCGACAGCACTTAACAACAACAACAGGTCATTTGTAACCCGTTGACTTCAGAATTTCAATGATGAAAATTTAGTTTTAACTCTAAACCTCTCTCTGAGTGCTTATAAGAACTCATGGGGCCAGTACGATGTGAACTATCAGTCATGTCAAATCTGTCATAGGTAACTTCTGCCCTTAAAGTCTCAAATTCGTCTTGCCTCTAATGTTTAGAACAGAAGATTGTTTAGGATAAATTCATGTTCTCTGGGGTCATAGATAAAAGGGCATGCAGTGCACCTACCTGCAATTGAAAGGTTCTCAAATCAAACTAGAACTCAATTTATATTGGTTTTGGTGATATAAAAGAACCACAGTATTTCCTGTACATTATGCTGTTTATCTGGAGTCCTGGTGTGGTGCTGTAGAATAAACATTGGACTACAACATTGGCAGTTCAAACTCACTAGCTGTTCTTCTGAAACCCTATACAGGGTCACTATGAGTTGGAACTGATCCAAGGCACTTAACAACAACAGCATGCTGTTTATATACCTGGTCCTGTTTAATTTTTAATACTTTAAGCCCAAATAAAAATATTTATTTCTCTTAATGTCATTGAAACTACTTAACAAATTCTTAATTTTCAGTAGGAGAAAAGATACATTGAAAAAGCAACAGGCAGTGTGTAAATTTCCTAGAAACCATGGAGATTATATATTCAGCTAACAGAAATTACTTGCATGACTGTTTACTGAAGTATTATAAGATTAACTACAACAAATTTGCACAACCCAAAATATTCATTTTTTAATCATTGCTCAATGTTGCAAAAAGACTTAGTTTTAGAATAAATATTCCATTTCATTGGGTTCTCACATATCAATTGGGTAGCAGATGTTCTTGTTATTGTGTTTGAGAAAACCTACTTCTTGAAACGTTAACTCCCTAATTCTTCCTTTTTTCCTGTGTTCAGGATGAGTTGATGGCAGAGCTTGAAGAATTAGAGCAGGAGGAATTAAATAAGAAGATGACAAATATTCATCTTCCAAATGTGCCTTCTTCTTCCCTCCCAGCACAGCCAGCTAGACAGCCAGGCATGTCTTCCACTGCACATCGGTCTCGAGCAGGTCTGTTACCCAATTCAACTACCTGTGACCTAAAATAATAGCCAGCTCTTCCCTTATAGCACTTATTTTTGATAAAAAATATAAATTTTTATCCATAATTCATGTTATCTATGTTGAATGTCTGAATGTCACCAGTCACTAATTTGCATCCATTTTATGTTTCAGCTTCATCTAGGAGGACAAATGAAGACGATGATGATATCAAACACTTGACAGCTTGGGCTACTTAAACTAAAATGAAATTTTTTGATGCCTAAATTAATGAGTTGTACATAGTTCATATAAATAAATTGCCAAGTTTAGAATGAACAACAGTACTGCTTTATCTTCACATTGGATCAGTAATTGTAATTTAAAGTTTTAAAAAGGAGTGGTATGTAGACATAGACTCACGGGTGGCAACATCTGGAAGGATCCATCCACACTACAGCAGGAGTCATGTCTACCATGTTTACAACTGTATTTCCAGTATTGCAAATGCATGCATGTATTGTATATACAAGTATAGATATTTGTACTCATTATATTTCTGTTGAAAGAAAACTGAATTCTACTAACAACAGTTTGTAAGCCATTTAAGAGTGGTATCTTTAGGATAGCAGGGCAAAATAACTTTCTTTTTGAAGTGAATACAAGTTTACTGTGCTTATCCATTTTAGGAGAGTTGCGGGATATGACAAATGTCAATACATAATGTCTCTGTGAAGAGAGACTTCTCGTACAGTAGTCTTGTGTGCATCTATACATAGTTGCACTTGAGTTTTTGCAGTTTAAAATCTTAAAGGAGCTTTAATTGACATTTATTATGCCAATTAAACTTGAAATGGGGCAATGGATGCATTTTCCAAAATGTCTGAGAACACTAACAGCTTACACTGCTGAGTGAGAATCTCCTGGGTGTAATTTAGCCACTTAGGGAGCTGCGTTAACACTCCCAGGCCATTATGGGGCTGTTATGGCTTCAGCGCACTAAATGTGTGAGTGTATACGCATTCTTTCTTTTCTGTTTTGTATTTTCTTGTACATTGATTTACACTTTGAAGAACATTCCTTGTAAAGATATAAAAATATAGACAATTAAAAGTGTATCTTGAATGCAGTTTTGACCACAGTTATGCAAAATTTGAAAAGTACTTATGTACTGCCCTAATTCCTAGTGAGGTGCTGTGAATTAATGCGCTGGACTTCAGAGTTGGTTTGAACTGAAAGGTCGGTGGTTCATGCTCACCAGCTGCTCCTTGGAAACTCTATACAGGGTCGCTATGAGTTGGAACTTACTCAATGGCACTTAACAACAACAAATATATCAAGTACTACGGTTCAAGCTCACCAGCTGCTCCTTGGAAACCCTATACAGGGTCACTATGGGTCAGAATCGGCACCTAGCAACAACATGTAAAGACAGGAGTCCTGGTGTGGTGCTGGATGGCAAAGTAAGTTTCAACTGCAAGGTCGGTGGTTCAAACTCACCAGTCGCTCCTTGGAAATCCTATATATGGTTGCTGTGAGTCAGAACTCACAGGCACTTAACAATAACAACAAAATGTAGACAAGTAGCATTATATAAAGTGTTCTAGTATTTTCTACGTTTTCTTAGTACCATGTTGTTATTGTTGTTAAGTGCTGTTGAGTTGGATCAAATTCATAGTAACACTGTATAGGTTTCCAAGGAGTGGTTGGTGAGTTTGAACTGCTGACCTCACAGTTAGCAGCCCAGTGCTTACCTTACAATGCCACATCAGGACTCCACTTAGCAACATAGTGGAATGAAGAGAGCAATAAACCTGGGAGGAGGAGACCTGGATTCCAGTCCCTGTTCTGCCACTATAACACAATATGACTTCAGGCATGCCACACACTCTGAGCCTTTGCTTTCTCAATGGAAAATTGAAGGATTCGATTAGATGAACTCTGAAGGTTCCATTCTGCCACAGAACTTTTGCTTATGCTATTCTCCTTGGCATTCTTCCCACCCCTCATAACACACAGAACACTTCTTATGTAGTCTTTACATTTTAATTCAAATGTCCTTTCTTTTGTGAATCTTTACCTGATTACCCCAACTCTTTATCTTTTGGGACCTGATGAATAACAGGAACCAGATTTACCTTCCTACCTTCAAACAACTATAAAAATGGACCAAACTCAGATATGCAACAACAGTTTCCAGATATTGAACCACAGAGAGTGCTTTCCTAATGATTCCTGAGAGACGGGGAAACAAGGAAGTGAGTCCTTCAAGTGCTCTGGTTTACTGCCTGCCCAGTAGGGAAACCCAATCAGAGCCTGGGACTCTTGCTGAGTTCAAGAACATTTGTGTGGAAGAGTCCTAGAATTAAGCATGCTGCAGAGAGAAAAAAAGTCTGGAGAATTGTAGAGGGGTCCCCTCAGGTCTTTAGCTGAGAACTGATCTGCCTCCATATGTGAGGGAAGTACAGAAACTGGGAAGAAGCACCAGAAAGAAACGGGCAGAACAATTCCCCAGAGATTACATGGGACCAGAAACAGTGTTCTTACCAGCCAGAGTGGAAAGACCTACTCCATAGGATATTGCTTTGAGTCCACAGGAGAGTATTTCCTCTGTTGGGGTGTAAATTTATGCCCAGATTGAATACTGCTGTGGACTAATCCTAAAAAATTTAAAAACAAAAAATGATTTCAAGTAACTTAACGGTATTATAGAACAAAGCCCCAACCTTTTAGTGGAATATAAAACAATGAAATGCAAGCAGAAACAGCAATAACAAAATACTAGTACCCAATGACACAAAACTCACAAAGTCTGGATCCAATAAACGTTTTTTTTCAGATATTCAAAAAAGCAGGAAAACACAACTTATAACCAGAAGAAAAATTAACTAATAGAAGTGGACTCAGAAATGACATAAATGATAGAATTTGAGCACAAGTCTTTTAAAATAGCCTACAATCTGGGCTATTAACCACAAGATCAGCAGTTCCAATCTGTGGGAGAAAGATGAGACTTTCTGCTCCCGTAAAGATTTACAACTTCAGAAACCCAGTATAGGGTCATTATGAATTGGAACCGACTCAATGGCACATCACCACTACCACCATTATGAATATCTTCCATATGTTCAAGAACATAGAAGAAAACATTATCATGGTGCAGAGAGAAATAGAAGATATTTGAAAAGAACCAACTATAAATATTACATATGAAAAACACACTATCTGAAATTAGAAAATTTAATACAGGTGAAGGAATTAATAGGCGCATTAGTAGTGTAATAGTCAACACTTGATTACTAACTGAAACGTCAGCTATTTGCACACACCTGCTGCTCAGCAGGAGAAAGATGCGGCAGTCTGCTTCTTTAAAGATTACAATCTTGGAAACCCTAAGGGGACAGTTCTACTCATTTGCTATGGACTAAACACTGTATCAGTTAGATTAATGAATTTGAAACTATTCTAACTGAAACACAGAAAAAAAGACTCAAAAAACAAAACAGGGCAAAAATATCTCAGTAGAACAAAAGTGAACTGTGGGACCGTGTTAAGCAGCCATACATACAGACACTAAGCATGGGAGGAGGAAAGAGCTTCAAAAAGTTCATGAAAAAATGGAATTGAAATATGATAGAATTTTCCACGAGGTTTTTAAAAGCCCATCCTGGATTTGTAGTGCCCAGACAGATTGGCTAGATAGGTTGAATAAAGTGCTTTAGGAGAAGAAACAAGACAGAAAAAAATGTTTTTGTTTAAAAATAATGGGTAAAATTTCCAAAATTGATGAGTACTCTAAATCATCAGAGCATGGTGGTTCCATAGGATAAGTACTGGACTATAAGTCACAAGGTTGGCAGTTTGAGTCCACTATCTGCTATGTCAGAGAACGATGAGGCTTTTTATTCCTGTAAAAGATTTAAAGCCTTAGAAACCTTGTACAGGGTTACTATGAGTCAAAACTGACTTCACAGACTTTACAACAACAACAATCAATACACATTTTATTGGAGCTCCACAATCATCAAGCAGAATTAAAAAAAAAAATCTTTCAATAACAAAAGATATAGTGGAGTGTTGAAGTGTCAAAACAAAAATACTCAAGTGAATAAGGTGTGAGAGTTCCTTGAATCTCTCCCTGCCCTGCTAGTTCAGCTAGACCTGTGAGGCCACAACAATGTCCATTAACCACATTAAAATGAATGGGACCAGAAATATGGTTAGGAAAACAATGTAGACTTTCTCAGTAATTTCTTTTGTTGATTGCATGTTGATATTATTTTGGATATATTGAGTTAACTCAAATGTATTATTAAAATGTATTTCATTTATTTTTCACTTTCTTTTTTAAGTGACTCCTGGAACATTTAAAATTATATATGATGATAAGTCAAAAATGTATTGCTGTAAAATCTTGTTGTTAGGTGCCATTGAGTCTGTTCCGACTCATAGTGTCCCTGTGCACGACAGAACAAGACACTATCTGGTCCTCGGTCATCCTCACAATTGTTACATTTGAGTCCATTGTTGTTGCCTCTGCATCAAACCACCTTGTTGGGGGCTTCCTCTTTTTCTCTGACACTCCCCTTTACCAAGCATGATGTCCTTCAGGGACTGGTCCCTCCTGATAATGTGTCCAACGATGTGGTCTTGTTATCCTTGATTCTAAGGAACATTCTTCCAAGACAGATAACGTTTATTCTTTTGGTAGTTCCTGGTGCTTTTAATATTCTTCTCCACCACCATAATTCAAATGCATAGATTCTTTTATAGTCTTTGTTATTCATTGCCCAACTTTCACATAGAAAATGAGGCTATTGGGATTACTATAGTTTGATTTAGACACTTCTTAGTTATCAAACTGATGTTTGCCCTTTAACATTTTAAGGAAGTGTTTTGCAGCAGATTTGCCTAGTGCACGTCATTTAATTCCTTGACTGCTGCTTACCTGAGTGTGGATTGTGGATCAAAGAAAAATTAAGCCTTTGACAATTTTGACTTTTTCTCCATTTATCATGATGTTATTTACTGGTCCAATTATGACGATTTTCATTTTCCTTGCCTCAATGCAGGTGAAATCCATACTGAAGGCTCTATCTTTGATCTTCATCAATATTTTAAGTCCTCTTCACATCCAGCAAGTAAGGTGGTATCATCTGCATATTGCAGGTTGTTAGTCATCCTCTAATCCTGATGCCAAGGTTCTTCTTCATATAATCTATCTTCTCTGACTATTTGCTCAGCACACAAACTGAATAAGTATGGTGAAAGGTTATAACCA